TGTTGTGTGGCTGCTGCTGGGTGGGGGGTGGGGGAGGGGTGTTGTGAGCACTCCCTTAGCTGCTCTGGCTGGTGTCTCAGTAGGCCACATTCTCCCCACCCTCCACATTCCACTGGCTCCAAGCCCAACTCAGCAGTATGGCTTGCCTAATAATTGAAGTCCTTGTGGCCTAGACTGCTCCTTAAGTGTTCTTAGGGTCCAGTAGCACTTCAACTCATGACGGCAAGGCTTGTAAAGACTCAAGCTCCCAACACTGAGATGGGAGATTTTTCTCTTGCTGGGGCCAATCCAAATGCTCCCTCTGTTGGCAAATGTCAGCTGAGTACAGTCTGGTTCTGCTTTTTACTGTGACAGGCTAGTGCTGAGTTTATTGCAAAGTCTCACAAACTGTGCTCTCCCTCTCCCAAACATTCGATCTCTGCACCACGTGGCCACTACTGGTGGTTGAAAAAGAGGTGGCATCGGTGTTTCCAGACTGTCATTTTTTTGTGTCTTCTCCAATGTCTCTTTCAGTGATATGAAGTTAACACCAGGTACTGTGAGTGCTCACCTATTTTTTGGTCACTTTGACAGTGCTTCTTGAATATAGTGAGTTGTGAAAATTTGGTGCTTTGGTATGGGGATGAGTGGTATAGGCTTCTATTCTGCCTTCTTACTCTGTCTCTGCCTTAAATTTTTTAGATTCAGGGAATACATTTGCAGGTTTGTTACATGGATATATTGTGTGATGTTGAGCTATGTGGGATATTACTGATCCCATCGCCAAGGTACTGAGCATATATTGTGGGATATAATTGATCCCATCACCAAGGTACTGAGCATATATTGTGGGATATAATTGATCCCATCACCAAGGTAGTGAGCATAGTACCCATAGTTTCTCACCCCCTGCCTTCCTCTCAGTGTCTATTGTTGACATCTTTATATTCATGAGTACCCCATGTTTAGATCCCACTTATAGGCAAGAACATGTGGTACTTTGTTTTCTGTTCCTGTATTCATTTCCTTAGGATAATGGCCTCCAGATACACCCATGTTGCTGCACAGAACATGATAGTATTCTTTTTAATGTGTGCATAGTATTTTATGGTGTTTATGTGGCATATATTTCTATCCAATTTATTGATTCACATGTAAGTTAATTCTATGTCTTCCCTAATGTGAATAGCAATATGATGAATGTACAAGTGCATGTGGGGTTTCTTTTTGTAGAATTTTTAATTTTCTTTTGGATATATACTCAGCAATGGAATTGCCGATTTAATGGTATTTCTGTTTTAAATTCTGTGAAAAATCTCTAAACTGCTTTTCACAGTGGCTAAACTAATCTACATTCTCACCACAGTGTATAAGCATTCTATTTTCTCTGAAGTCTAACCAGAATTTGTTACTTTTTTACTTTTCAATAGTAGCCATACTGAATAATATGAGATGGTATCTTACATTGATTTGCATTTCTCTGATGATTAGTGATGTTGAACATTAAGAAAACCACGCCATTAAAACACTGACAAGGGATATAAGCAGACACTTCTCAAAAGAAGACATACAAGTGGGATTCTTATTCTATCACAATAAGCTGCCTTTCTTTTGAAAAATACAAAATCAGACCACTTGGAAATTCACTTTAATTTTAGTGATTGACAGTATGTTTCCCCTTCTCTATCTCCTTTTCTTATTTGTGAATTTTTTTCTGATCATTATGAATCCACTCAGCAGAGTAACCTCCATTCTTAATCTGTGTGAATTGTGCTGATGAGCTAGTCAGCTCTCTTAAAATCACCAACAAGGCCGGGCGCGGTGGCTCAAGCCTGTAATCCCAGCACTTTGGGAGGCCGAGACGGGCGGATCACGAGGTCAGGAAATCGAGACCATCCTGGCTAACCCGGTGAAACCCCGTCTCTACTAAAAAATATATAAAACTAGCCAGGCGAGGTGGTGGGCACCTGTAGTCTCAGCTACTCGGGAGGCTGAGGCAGGAGAATGGCGTGAACCCGGGAGGCAGAGCTTGCAGTGAGCTGAGATCCAGCCACTGCACTCCAGGCTGGGCGACAGAGCGAGACTCCGTCTCAAAAAAAAAAAAAAAAAAAAAAATCACCAGTGAAAGAGTTTTAAATTTCCTAGTTGGTAATACATTTTTAGTGTGCCACAGGGTACTCTTAGAACAATGATTTCTGGTCCAGGCATTATGGATTATGATGATTAGTTCTCTGGATTTCTATAAGTTTTGAAATTAAGAGGTATAAATCTAAAATAAATTGGACTTCATACTCTTTACACATTTATTGTGTTTGTTAATTATTCCATAGGAAAACAGACAAAAGACTTCTGTAGATTTCAATTCTGTTTCACCATATTTAGGGTTACAACAAGGGAATTACATTGACGTAATTGAGACACTGAATTAACCTCAGTCATCACATGTGATTTTTCTAGAGTTTTTTAATGGTACTGACGTTCTTTTCAATATGTCAATGCCTAGTTTGGGTTTCTGGGGGAGACGTGAGTAGCTAGTACTATCCATCTAAAACATAATATTCATTAGTTGGAATAATAGTGTGATAAGATAGTCTTCAAGATGATGCCCTCAATTCCTTTCCTCCCTGCACGCACATACTGCTCTTTACATTGACAGGTAGAGTCAAATCTCCCATTTCTTGAATCTGTGCTGGTCACAATGACTTGCTTTACCGATGATGCAGCAGAAGTCATATTCTAGGACCTCCAAGGCTAGTTCATAAGAAGTTTTGTAGTATTTCCCTGTGTGTCTTGAGACCAACTACCACGTTGTGAGAACTCCAGATAATGTGGAGAGGTCAGATAGGCATCACACACAGCAGCCAATGTGCACTGCCAGCCATGTGAGTAACCCGTCTAGGATCTTTAGCCTAGTTGAGCTCTCAGGTAACTTCAGCAGCAGCCAACAAACAGCAATGGCAAGAAAGACTCCAAAAGAGAACTTTTGTAGCGCCCGTCAACCCACAAAACCATGAGAAATAATGTTATTTAAAATTACTAGACAAATAATAACAGTAAACAATATTAAACAATAAATAATTCCTTAAGTTTTGGAATAGCTTACTATTCTGCAAGAGAGAGCTAGAACAAGTAGTAAATATTGCAAGATACTGAACAAGTATAAGTTTACTTGTGTAATATACTTGTATATTTTAAAGACATTGACATTTCTGGACAGAGTGTAAAAGTGAGCACCGATTAAATGACTCCCAAGAGAAGCTGTCTGTTGTCTCTCAACATCATGATTTACCAATGGGAGCTGTATTTTGCTTTTGGAAAATATACCTTTTAAACTTCATTTAAAAAAAATATATACTAACAATTGTTTAGAAAGGCATATGCTATTTTGAAAAAAAATTTGAGAGAACCAGAAAAGTGTAAACTTCAAGCCTCTAATCATATTTATATGCTATTTAACCCATAAATCCAAAGTCTGATGGCAAATATGCTTATGTTACACTGATATTTGGATAAATAAGTTAAATTAACAGTTTCCTTTTTAAATGATAGGCCTTATAATTGGTATAATGTTGAGATGGCTGCAGTGGATGGGCTCATCAGCATAATAATATTTTCTCTTTAATACTTTTTCAGAACATTAAGTGACAACCAGAGAGTCTAAAACTGGGTTCCATAGCAGTAATAAAATCAGAGGGACACTTAATTTGCAGCAACGGGATTGGAATTCTTGCTGTTGAGGTTGGTGGTAGCAAACTCAGTTATGGGTGGCTTCTGTTTCATGCTTAGATGGTGTGTTGGAACATTTCCTGTTTAGAACTTCCTAACGCTTCCTGACTAGAGCTGTTTACAACAGAAACAAACCCCTCCGATTCTGAATTTAGCCAATTTACTGTTATAATTTGTTCATGTGTTTCTACTTTCATGTAGACAGAAATTGTATCTGATACCTCTTTTTCTTCAGCAATGGTGTGCCTGGCACCTAGTTGAATTGTCAGGTTTGTTGAATAAGTAAAGTAAAATTTCACCAGAAGTAAATTATTAAATTTATCAACTTTACTCCAAAAACATATAGCTAAGTAAGATGTATGAATTAATTCACTCACTTATTCAACAAACATTTATTAAGTGACTACAGTATACTATGAGCTAGGAATATGGCAGTAAACAAATCTCACCTTGTCTCAAACTTCAGTGGATCCAGGAGTCTCTAGAAGTTTGATTCTTGCTCAATCAGCAATTCCTTTTCACTGAAGACTTGACAAGAAAGTTGGAGAAAGCAAGTGTGTGTGAACCCAGCAGATGTTTGTGTTGCACCTACTGTGTTCCAGAAGCTATAGCGTCACAGGATCTGCCTGTCTCCTAGCAAAAGTGAACACTAAAAACATTATTTTAAGCAACAAAAAATGCCAAGTATGCCAAGCGATGAAGAGGCAAAGCACTGGGTCCCGAGAGTATAATGGGCACTGAGCCTAGCGTGGGGTCCAGACGTCTCTGGCATGGTGCCCTCCTAGGTTGTTGTTGTCCCTCCTTGTTGCTCCTGCTGTCTTCTTCAGTTACATCTGCTTCTCTGCATTTCTTCATTTTACAGTGTGTGGGATGCAGTTATCTCCGAACAGGAATAGGCAACTGTACACCTGTTACGTTGTGCTTGATTCTCCGCATTGACGTACACTGGGCCCAGGTTTCCCTGGTGGACTGCTTGGGCCATTCTTGTCATCTGGCTCTGAAGATTTTGTACACAGAGATGTACTTGCCAGATGGGGAAGCCAGAGATCTGAGGTCCTCTGTTGAGGCCACTCTCACCCTGCTTATCTTCCCTGACATACCTAACAGATGAAGCTCTGGTGAGCGATGCACGTCAGGCCACAGTGTGGACCATGTACAATTCTTCAAGCTCCAGCTTTACCTCTCTTTCTTAGTGCTCTCTTAGGACAATATATTTAGATGGAAGTAAATGAAAATAATGTTATTAGAGGATAAGATTCAAATCAATCCCATTTGTAATAAAAGGAAGTAGATTATTTATGAACTGTAATACTTTATTTTTAGTGAGAAATCACCTTAAAATTTGGAACCTAGGTACAAGATAATTACTTCATTCTGCAACTGTTCAAATGTTTAGTAGCAAACTATATGCCAGGACTGTGCTAGGTACTAGGGATACATGGTTGAATATATAGTCTAAGATTCCTTGGAGTTTCATATAAATGGCTAATGCAGCATATAGACATGGTAAAAAGAGACGTCTGAGATGCACAGAGGACAGGCAATAAAGCGTCTTTGAATGGTGGATAAATGTGCTTGGACATTTCACTCAGGGCTGTCAGAAGTTTTTGAAAGTCAGTGGTCTCAGAGTTTTGGCGTTTTCAGGCCCTGCTAAGTACTTTATTTCTAGCTGATTATTGGCCACAATTACTGATCATCAATTGGCTCTGTCTGATCCAGTAACTCCACCACTGAGTATCTAAACAAAGGAAAAGAAATCAATGCATCAGAAAGATACCTGTACTTGTATGTTTGTTGCAACACTATTCACAGTAGCACAGATATAAATCAACCTAAATGTCCATCAACAGACATAAATTTATAACCCATAAATTTATACACAAAATGTCTTAGACCTCTGTCTCTTCTCTCATAAGCCTCAGAGGCCAGTGATCCCCTTGGATCGCCTCAGTCTGCTAAGTTTTGACTTTCCTTCCTAAGGTGATTTTGGGGAGAGGTAAGGGAGTGTTTCAGGAAGATGCTCTCAGGCACACTGCTTCTGCAGAAACATTAGAGGCCCTTGTGGTGGCCTTTATCTATTCACTGCTTTAAGCAAGGAATAAAAGATCTGAGGCTAAAATGAAAAAAAACTGTGTTTCCAACCCACCCTTCAGACCTGACAGAAGTGATTTTAGAATTTTAAGGGAACAGCTTTTTCCTGACCCAAAGGGCACAGTAATGCAAAGGCCAATGTCATGTAAGGTAAGTACCTTTTCCCTATCTGTAACGTAACTCTAAGATGCTATTCCCACAGCTGGAATCGGTACAATGTTCTGACTGAGGTACTGGAAAAGCCTATGAGCTCATTATCATTTGAGCATAAGAATAATGTAAAATTTGGCAGAATTTTATTTGAAAGAACTATTTATGCAATTTTTAGTTAGCTGATTTATATTGCGGTTATGTCAAACAATAAAAATCAGGTTGGTATGTTGTTAGCTAGAAATATTTACAGTAACACATGGTCTTGATGATCTCACATGATGAATTGAAGATTAAAGCAAAATAATTTATCTTAGGGAACTTTGTGACAGTTTCTGTTTAACTTTGCCTAATAATGACTTCAAACTGTTGTGCATATATAGAGAACTGACTGAAGAGACTTTTTTTGACTATTGTGCTACATTTATTATTGTAACTTTTTGAGATCTGGGGGAACATATCTTTTTTTTTTTTTTTTTTTTTTTTTTTTTTTTTTTTTTTTGTTGAGACGGAGTCTCGCTCTGTCGCCCAGGCTGGAGTGCAGTGGCGCAATCTCGGCTCACTGCAAGCTCCGCCTCCCGGGTTCACGCCATTCTCCTGCCTCAGCCTCCCGAGTAGCTGGGACTACAGGCGCCCGCCACTGCGCCCGGCTAATTTTTTCTGTTTTTAGTAGAGACGGGGTTTCACCATGGTCTCGATCTCCTGACCTTGTGATCCGCCCGCCTCGGCCTCCCAAAGTGCTGGGATTACAGGCGTGAGCCACCGCGCCCGGCCCATGGGGGAACATATCTTTAGTCTCAGTTGGCCCAGTAAATGTTTTGGAGTAAGCTTCTGTGTTATGTGCTGAGTATTGAAGCGACAGTGGAGACAAGGCTGCTGCCCTCGCAGAGTCTGGGGGAGAAAACCTGATGGAGTATGGCAGGGAACACGCTGGGAGCATCCCAGGATGCTAACAGTGCACACAGATGGAACACCTGCCCTAGAACGGGGGAGGGTCGGACAAGGAGAGGTGTCAGGAAAAACAAGGAAAGATCTGCAGGAATAGAAACACACTTGAGAAATCCATGGGGAATGAAAAGAGAATGGCTGAGCAGCAGCAGACCGTCAAGAAGGAAACCAAGAAGGAGCAGCCAAAGAGGTTGATGGAGAACGAGGAGAAAGACGGTGACACTGAAGCCAAGGACAGGAAGCTGTTTCAACATTTCTGGAAAAAAATATCACAGGCTCTGCCTTAACCTTGCTGTTTTATGAGTCATATAGCTGCATTCCAGGTTCTGAGATGTCCAGCACTAAAGATTTTTCTTTTAGTTTGCTTAACCCAGCATTTGCCAGAATAACCTGGGCTCAGTGTGAGTGTGTGTGTGTGTGTGTGTGCGCACGCCTGTGTGTTCCACTAATATCTCACTGGGGCTACTGTTCTATACAACATAATTTTTAAAACACTAGTTTTATCCATCCTGTGTTCAGCTGCAGCAATACTTACAAAGGTCAACCTTGACCATGTGTCTTAGTTACTAAAGAAAACAAAACAAACCAATGAATAAAGCCCATCCTGCAGTGGCTCCTCACTACCTGCACAATGGAGCCCACCCGGCTTGGCCTGGGTGCCCTGTGCTGACCTGGCCTTCCTGCCGTCTGCCTGCTCCTTTGCCTCCCCTTTCCTCCTGGAGAAGGTAGGGATGCTCTGAGCTTTGGCCAGCATGGAACATGTGCCCTACTCCTAAAGCAGACCATGTTTTCCTGAGTGCACTTTAATCTCTTTTAAGGGTATAGATCAAACAATGTATATTTTCTGGCCTCTCTTTGTCTTCCCTTCCAATCTCCATACAGAGATCTGACCTTTCCTTAAAGTTTTTCATCAGGTCTCACTCTGTATGCAGTTTTCCTGCCACTTCTGCAATGTATGCACTTTACTGGTACATAAATTTTGCTATACCAGCCCGGGTTTTTCATTTATGTATCATTTTATATCATCTTTTTTTCTTAGAGCTTATTTCACTTATTTATTCAATCTTTCCGCAATATAATTGTATGTCATACAATTTTATATTTATTTTCATTGGTATTTATATATCTTTTCTATAAAAATGGAGACTTTCTAAATAGATCTTCATTAATGTTGAAAGAAAGTTTTAAGTCTTTGTCTCGGCCAAAAGGAGTTCCCCGCATGAATGAGGGAATGAAACACTTGCATTGTTGCATTAGATATTATTACAGAGAAAGAGAAACGTGTGTAATGGAAAATTGCTAACTTTGCCTCAGGGAGATCAGGATGATTCACTGAGAAAGTTTGAACTGGTTTAGAAAGCATGGTTCTGAGTTGTCTAGGAGAAGGAGAAAAAGTTAGGGTAGGGCATAAGAAGTAATGCCCACATCAAAAAGTTAGAAAGATCTCATATTAACAACCTAACATCACAACTGAAATAATTAGAAAAGCAAGAAGAAATCAACCACAGAGCTTGCAGAAGACAAGAAATAACGAAAATCAGAGATGAATTGAAAGAAACTGAGACATAAAAAACTGTTCAAATGATCACTTAAGCAAGGTTTTTTGAAAAAAATAATAAGATAGATAGGCAGTAGTTAGACTAATGAAGAAAAGAGAGAAGATTCAAATAAACACAATTATAAATGATGAAGAGAATGATACCACTGACCCCACAGAAATAAAAATAACAATCAACAACTACTACAAACACGTCTACACACACAAACTGGAAACCCTCGAAGAGATGAATAAATTCCTGGACACATGCGCCCTCTCAAGACTGGACCAGGAAGAAATTCAGTCTCTGAACAGACCAATAATGAGCTCCAAAAATTGAATCAGTAATAAACAGCCTACCAACCAAGAAAAAAAAAAGAAAAGAAAAGAAAAAGAAAAAAGCCCAGGACCTGATAGATTGACAGTCAAATTTTAACAGATGTACAAAGAAGAGCTAGTACCACTCCTACTAAAACTATTTCAAGAAATAGTGGAGGAGGGACTTCTTCCCAACTTGTTCTATGAGGCCAGCATTATCCTGATACCAAAGCCTGGCAGTGACACAACAAAAAAAGAAAGCTTCAGGCCAGTAACCTTGATGAACATCAATTCAATAATCCACAACAAAACCCTTGCAAACCGAATCCAGCAACACATCAAAAGGGTAATTCACCACAGTGAAACCCCATCTCAACTAAAAACATAAAAAATTAGCTGGGCATGGTGGCAGGCGCCTATAATCCCAGCTATTCAGGAGGCTGAGGCAGGAGAATGACTTGAACCTGGGAGGCGGAAGTTGCAGTGACACAAGATTGTGCCATTGCACTCCAGCCTGGGAGACAGAGCAAGACTCCATCTCAAAAAAAAAAAAAAAAAAATTACAAAATGTAGCCAGGCATGGTGGCAGGCACCTGTAGTCCCAGCTACTCGAGAGGCTGAGTCAGGAGAATGCCGTGAACTCAGGAAGCAGAGCTTGCAGTGAACTGAGGTTGCACCACTGCACTCCAGCCTTGGAAACACAGTGAGACTCCATCTCAAAAACAAAACAAACAAAAAACACTGCTCAACGAAATCAGAGAATACACAAGCAAATTTAAAAACATCCCATGCTCATGGATAGGAGGATCCAATATGACTAAAATGGCTATATAGAACAGCAATTTACAGATTCAATGCTATTCCTATTAAATACCAATGAAATTCTTTACACAGCTAGAAAAAACTATTGTAAAATACATATAAAACTGAAAAGAGCACAAATAGACAAGGCAATCCTAAGCAAAAAGAACAAAGCTTAAGGTATCACATTACCTGACTTCAAACTAAACTACAAGGCTACCGTAAGCAAAACAGCACGATACTGATAAAAACAGGCACACAGACAAATTGAACAGAATAGAAAGCCCAGAAATAAACAAGGCTGCACATCTGTGACCATGTGGTCATAGACAAAGCTGACAAAAGGAGCAATAAAGAAAAGATTCTTCATTCAATAAATGGTGTTGGGACAAGTGGTTGGGACAACTGTGGAAGATTGAAGCTCGATCCCTTCTTTATACCATACACAAATAAATAAATAAACTCAAGATTGATTGAAGACTTAAATATAAAACCTAAAATTATAAAAACCCTAGAAGACAATCCAGGCAATACAATTCTGGACATAGGAAAGGGCAAAGCTTTCACGACAAAAATCAATAGCAAGAAAAGCAAACACTGACAAGTAGGATCTAATTAAACAAAAGAGCTTTCGCATAGCAGAAAAAAAGAAAACTATCAACCGAGTAAACAAAGAACCTAGTGAATGGAAGAAAACATTTGCAAACTATGCATCTGAAAAAGATCTACTATCCAGCATCTATAAGGAACTTAAATTTATAAAGAAAGAAACAACCTCATTAAAATGTGGGCAAAGGACATGAACAGATACTTTTCAAAAGAAGACACACATATGGCCAATAAATGTATGAAAAAAACCTCAGCATCACTGATCATTGGATAAATGAAAATTA